AGAGAGAGAGAGAGAGAGAGAGAGAGAGAGAGAGAGAGAGAGAGAGAGAGAGAGAGAGAGAGAGAGTTTGCAGTTGAATGGTATGCGCTTTTCTGAAGTTTTTTTCCATTGTCTGAACCTTTGGGTGTCGTCGTCTTTTACTGCAGAACTTCTTAGAGGAGGGCTCTCTTCATTCTGTTCATTGGTATCGGGTGGTTCTTGATGAAGCGCACATGATAAAGAACTGGAAGTCGCAATCAGCAAAGGCTGTGTTTCATCTCACCTCCGATCGACGCTGGTGCCTGACGGGCACTCCTATACAGGTGATTAACCAAACATCCTTGGCTCTGCTTTATTTTAAAAAAAAATGAATCTCGGCAGTGGAGTCTGAATGCCCTGTCCATGACAATATGTGCCTATCCGGAGCCTCCATTTGGGTGTGTAAGAGTATTCATGGTTCTGTGCGAGTGCAATGGCTATGTTCCCTAATGAGCGCAAAGGGTACTTGCTATGTTCCTATGACCTCTTGCATCCTGATTGACAAGAGGTGTCCCATATCTGAAGCTAGTCTCCTTAATTTGTTTTCTTATGAAGGACATCTGAGACAGTGCGCGGTTAACTTTTTTTTATCTGTAACGGGCATGTGCGGCCCGGGCCGGAAGGGCCTACTGTACCCCAAAAACCACACTAACATTTTGGGTGGCGCCTGGAAACCAAAACATCATCCCACTCGTGCCCTTCAAAAAACAAAAATAAGAACCCTTCTTGGCTGGGGTTGCAAACCAGACTTTTCAGACGGGATGACAGTCCCAGACTTCCAGATCTGGTTGGTCTGCATCAGAGTGATGTATGGCACACACATCACTTGCGCTCTGTATGAACATACACTTTTCTTTTGTTTTCTGCAACTGAGTGGGAAAGTGATGTCTGGCATGGTATTTGCTGGATGAAACCATACTCGCCGTCTCCCATTACCGTTCTCAAAATCCATACAGACCATCCCCCCCCTCCCCCCCATCCCGTGCCCTTTCTTCTTCTCAAAATCCATACAGACCCCGTCATATGTATGGTCATGTTCATCATTGGTTTCCATGAACATCGTACCAGCAGGGGTCTGGGGCTTATAAGCTTTGGTGGGATTTGGACCACGAGTCGTTCAATGGTTTGTATTCTGTTTGTGAACATTCTTGCACCTTTTGCAACAGTTTTGTAAACTCGGAATCCCTGTCCTTCTTGTAACAGAGCTTGACAGCTCTACAATACTTTTGTCACCAAACTTGCTCTTTGACCTGTGAACATTCTCGAACCTGGTCTACCATGCCGGAAGACTTCTCTCTTCGGTCCGTGAAGCTTCCTCTTATTTTGTACATGGTCTTTGTTACTACGGTTAGCTTGTACCTCTGCTTCGAATGGTGGGTGGGTGTTACTCGTTCCAATCGTGGCACATACCTCACCGTCCGTCTACTGTTTGTGTTCTTTTTGGTATTGCAGAACCAACTGGACGACATTTTTAGCCTGCTCCATTTTCTCCGAGTCGAGCCCTGGAGCAACTGGGGTTGGTAAGTTGTAGCTGCCTTGTCCAACATGGATTGCTTTCTGGTTGGCGTCGACTGCTAAGGAAACTAAGAAGAAAAAATCAAATGCAAGAAAAAGTGGATGGACAGAAAGGATGTAAGCAAAACCACCTGACTCGTGTGAAGGAATGAGAAAGTGAAAATGGGCTGGGGCATATTGGTTGCGAGCTGTTCAAGACGGAAACATGGAAGACATCGAATGTTCGCAGAATGTGCAGAACATGGAAAATACAAAACAAAAACTCATGGTTTAGTAGGAGAAGCCATGGCTGTGCTGGCAACCGGCCAGTTGGACCGGCCCCGATCCAACCGGG